CACATAACCTGAAACAAACTAAAACAAAAACTTTAACAATCAATCTGAAGTAAAACCATTAGTGACTCACACAATGAAACATCTATTAAACACTAACCTAAGTAATTTCCAAATCTTAATTGCACAAGCTGAATCAATCTGAAGTAAAACCATTAGTGACTCACACAATGAAACATCTATAAACACTAACCTAAGTAATTGCCATCCACCTTACACAACAAAGAATTGATTTGAATTCTAGCTTCGAAACTTTTTTTTGACAAATGTAAGTCATGTGATAAAAGTAACTTTTGAAGAAACAATTGTGAATAGATGGAAGCTATTTACACAGATATTGGTTTCTTCCGAAACAATATAAATATTACTCAGCACCATATTTTATGCTCAAATGATTTAGAGTAAAAATAACATAGATTATATTGAGATGCAAGTTTCATTGTTTAGTTTAAACAATTAATTTATATAAATATTCATACTTCAATATGAGTTATTTGATTTATTAAAAGCAATACATTATTTAAACCAGAATTATTTGTTATTACAAAAATAGATATTTTGTTACAGGTTTTGGCCACATTTGTTTGAGCCATCATCAGGTGGATAGCCCGAAAATGAGGCTAAAACCTGTAACAAAATATCTTTGTTTTTATAATAACAAATAATGGTGGTTTAAATTATGTATTGCTTTCAGTAATCAAGTACTAAAATATGTCTGAGTAAACCAGTTAATTTACTTTAGTTGTTTTCTCGTCAGAAAACTAACCAGGGAACCTTGTGAATATTTAAAGTACCTTCGCTTGTTTTTGCTCATTTATACATTTGCATTTTGACGTTTCTAGTAAGTGAATTATATCAATATAAATTTATCACGTACATAACAAAAACGGGTAATTTGAAAAGAATAAAAGCAGTAAGTCTTAAAATCGCGTACTTAGCTGAATCTTTTATCTTCATCATACGTAAACTGATACAGAACAACAAATAAAGTTTCAATAAAAAACATATTTATTTTAGCATATTTATCTGATTCTAAGAAATACAATTTAATAACTTACTAACATTACCAAAACTTACCAAGGATTTGTTATGTATTTAGGATGACATACTTCTGTCACTAACACTGTTTCCTGCATTGGCATATTGAAAGGAGAGTTTCCCAAAACAAATTTTCTTACAAAACTAACACTCAAATGCTGGTTAAAGAAAACTCAATAATTAACTGAAGTCACCTTGGTAGGAGCAGCCAGTTCGAGTTGAGCCTGGCCTTGTAAGAAAGTCAGGAAAAAAGTCCAACCTTCAATAGTGGATAGCCTTTTGAGAGTGGTCCACTGCAGATGATGCAAACTTGATGGTAGGTGACGGAAGCCAATAATGTTTTCACACTCAATGCTGGTGCTATAAGCTACTTTTATTGAAAATGGGTCTCACACACACACACATACACTATAGTAATGCCCCCAGGGTGAAAGTGACAAGGAGGTATGTAGGTCAGAGTCTAAATTATTACAGTTTGGTTTAGGCTGATGCAAACTTCCCTCTTGTTCTGATTTTGTCTAAAAAGATCATGTAGCCTGACAACTGGTTTTTATTTTGCGTGTACCATATAAAAGAGAAAACTAAATTTCTTTTAACCCCAAGGTTTAACTATAAGTATGTCAAATATCAAAACCAAAGCCTAACACAGTCACGTGCATAAGTTCATTTTACATTAATACATTTTTATTTCCTGCTTGGCATAAAATACAATTTGAACAAATAACTTAACCAGAGGGGGGAAAAAACAACAACAATAATATGCAAGACAAGGGTGTAACCTCTCATATACATTGTGTAGGGGAAAAAAATATGTAAGGCAAGGGTGGATAATGTGCACAAATGTACGATGCAGACTGAAAAAAAAGGAGCTCAAGCACTGATCTATAGAATATATATAAATATAGGTGTCTCATATGAGCTAAAGTAACTGAACTGTAGAAATATCCTTTTGTTTTATGTTTATACAACCTAGTTTTCTGTAACATATATATATATATAAAAAGATAACAGCAGTTACTAAGTATTGTTGATTTCCAAGAGAAAAATGGAACAAGTCCAATGGATGTACAACTTTATGTATTACACGAACAAAACAGAACACTGGTAAATAATTATTTAGAAGTAGGACTTGAAACTAATCTCCAAACGTACAGCAGCTTTTATTACTCTAACATATCATATGAAGTAATCAGAGTTTTTGTTTGTGGATTTGTGATCCAGAAAGGCCATATTGAAACATTCTTGTATCTATCATAAATCCACAAACAATAGGTGATCCAGAAAGGCCATATTGAAACATACTTGTATCTATCATAAATCCACAAACAAAAACTGATCCAGAAAGGCCATATTGAAACATACTTGAATCTATTATTCTATATTTCTATTTTAAAAAATGTCTGTATACATTTCCACTTATTACCTGTAAATAATGTATAAAAAAACCTGTTCTACATATCATCCGACACTAATACCAAATACAAATATAAACCTTTTTTAAGTAATGCTAAGTGAACCAATGATCCTTGATAAAGTTTTTATCTGTTTTAAATATAATAAAACTTAATACTGTGCGTATAATACAAATACTTTAAATGTCAATAGAATATGAATACCACAGAGGAATAAAACGTAACTAATAAAAGTATATTACAACATTAACCTTCTATTAAAAATAGCTTCTTCTTCTTCTTAGCCAAAAATTGTGTCAGTAAATCGTGCTTAGTTGAAGATAGATGGTATTATAATAAAATAGTTTAGAGAACAATGAATTCTGGTATACGTGTAACAGAAGTCTATCTAGAGAGAGAAGATAAAAAAAAATACACCAAAATCTGTATTCAAATCACTTAAGACATTTCATTAAAACATACCCAGTCCGAATTATCAGATCTTGGAGTACATACTTACCTCTACACTAATGAAAGGCCTGATTATTAAACAAGATTTAATATGGCACAATAGCTTTGTTACACATACAAAACAAAGTGAATAACCTCATCTGTAATGCTTACAATGTTAGACAGATTAGATCCTTTAGTTAGAGTGTATCGATCATAATCTTTATGTTTTACACAGTTGATGAACTCTGCAACAAAGGATCTAATCTAGACTGTAATCTTTATGTTTTACACAGTTGATGAACTCTGCAACAAAGGATCTAATCTAGACTGTAATCTTTATGTTTTACACAGTTGATGAACTCTGCAACAAAGGATCTAATCTAGACTGTAATCT